GTTTAGGAATAGCTCCCATATAAGGGTACCCCCAATTTTAAGTATTTTGGGGTTCTTGAGCACGATTTCCAAAAACTAAAACCGCCAAGTTTGAGAATGAAATATAACATATCGGCCCTATCCCCCTATTGCGATACCTAAATATTAAAAATATTAAAAATACCGAAAATGGTATTTTTAATATTTTCATGGCCTCATATCGACAAAATGGGCCCACATTTTGAGGTTTTGCGATTTTAGGACAAATCTCTATTAAAAATTGCTGAAATTTGTATTTGGTATACATTATGGTTTACAAGAACAATTGTTGGTATAGGTATACTTGTTGATATGTTCCCAATATGTTCATTTCAAGTAACATCAGTATACCTATGGTGGTGGGTCGAACTTAATGCCTTTTTCATTTATATTTTATATTTTTTCCCCTACAAATTAATAATCAATTTTAAACATTTTGAATATGCACCTCATGGTGGGGGTATAATAATTTTGGCCTGGCCAAATTTATCGTAATTTTTACTTGTTAGAATTCTAAGAAAAATTTCTTATATTTAATTAATTAACTGTTGTTTTTTTTTCTTTTTTCAGGTATGTCCACTTGAAAATACTATTCTGTAATCTAAGTAAGTAGTTTTATATAAATGTATTTGTTTTGCACTAATAAAGCCATAATTAATGGGGTATATATAGAAGAAATACTCCCACCATTTTTAATGTAAACTACTGTATTTAATACACCTATTGAGTTCACCTATATATCAGGGTGCGCAAAAATTCGCTCGCGAATGATTCAAAATACATTATTTTCGTTTTGTGCTCATTTTACAGCAACGATCGTTCGATTCGTTTGGTGGTTGAAATTCTTTCTGACATTATCTCACGAATGAAATCAGAACCGATTTCAACAAAACTTTGACACACATTAGCTACACTAACTTCAGTACGTTGTGCAAAATTTTGTGGCAATCGGTCCTACTTTGGGTCTTTGGTGCACCATTTACTTAAAAACGGTCAAAAATATATTTGGGAGCTATAATTAATACTGGACCGATTTCAACAAAATTTCTCATATATCCGTCTAGACCTAATTCAGTACTCTGTGTAAAATTTTGTCTCAATCGGACAAATATTGGGAGTTGAGTGCATCATTCACATAAAATCGGACGAAACTATATATGGGAGCTAAATCTGAATCTTAATTGAGTTCAACAAGACATCAGTCTGGACCTAATTCAGTACGCTGTGCAAAATTTTGCCTCAATCGCACAAATATTGGGGGTTTGGTGCATCATTCACATAAAATCGTTCGAAACTATTTATGAAACTATTTATCCGATTTCAATGAAACTTCGCATAAATCAGGCTGGACCTAATTCAGTACGCTGTGCAAAATTGTGTCTCAATCGGACAAGAATTAGAAGCTTGATGCACTATTTAGATAAAATCGTACGAAAATATATATGTAAGCTATATATAAAACTGAACCGATTTTCTCCATTTTCAATAGGGTTGGTCCTTGGACCAAATAAGTGACCTCTGCTAATGTTTTTTTACGAACGGACGGACATGCATACATAAAAACAGAGAGCAAAACCTTCACTTTCGACCGAACCTGATTTGTTTTTTTCGGTCTAGGCTATTCTTGACGTTTTTATTGAAATGATTGGTTTTTTATGATAATCTGATCGATATTAATCATGATCGACGTCATTGCTCTTATTCGACGAATATTCAAAATCATTTTCATCTTCCAAACAAATCTGGATCGGCTGCGTCCAAAGCGATTCCGTATCGTTGGGTATCTCTTTCTAGATTATGTAGGTATCCGATTCCATGCCTGGGTGGGGAGTCCTATCCATAAGGTGATGGCTTGGATGATTCCGGCGATAACACACAAGCAGATGGAAGAACTGTACTAAATCAGCTATATAGACATTTAAGCTTTCACAATTGTCATCAATAACGTTGCCCGACGCCAAGATCGTACAACCATCCGCATGCATTACGAAAGGTAAAGGTTAAACAATTCCGGAGATGTGACCCATACGGTTACGTAGGCCTTTATGCGGCTAGGGGCTAACTCCGTGCGGACACCAGCTTACTCAGCCTTACTTCTCCTGTGTGTGATTCTAACCCGTTCATCCCAGCCCAAGGCACGAGTTCGTAAAAAATTCTGGAACAAAATTGACCACTACCAAGATGTATCAACCGTTAAATAGACCATCTATACCCGCAGGATATAGATCACAACTTCCATGATCACAACCTCCTCTTCTTGACCATTGTGACCCATATAATCGCCTATCACAAACCACTTGGTTTCGACTTCTTGTTTCTGAATTCCACATATGAATGGCGACCACATATATAATTGATTATCCAAAGTTTCAACTAGCTCGGAGGGTGGTCTTCTCTATGTCCTTGAATAGCTTATAGTGATTGACAATATCAAGAACCACTAAAACTGTTCTATCACTCGGGTTAAGTGCTCTGCTTATATATGTGGTTATGACTATGCTATTACTGTGCTGCGCAGCCTCCGGAATCAATTTGAATGTTGAACAACTGGAAATCAGAGGGTGGAGTAGTGGCTTAAGCGTCTCGCCACTGGAAATCGGCCTTTACGATTCACCTCTGCTGGCATCCTTGTCTGGCTTCTGTAGCGGGTACACCCTGTCTAATTTCCAGGCTTTAGACACGATATGGGTTGATTCAGGTTCATCCACTTACATTTTCATTACAATGTAGATTCCTTCCGGGGCCAAAGCATTGAATGACTTAGCGTTCCGAATAACATCTTCAACACCATCCTTTGTATATTACACTGTATATTATTACCACCTCCTTCGCCTGGAGGGGTCTAATACAACGCAGCACACTCCTTTTCGCCTTGTCACTCTCGGGGTGCTCTATGAACTGTCGGTAAAAAAAAACTGGCGCACCTCTTCGGATCAGTCACCGTTACGTCGCTAAGTGTGACAGCCGGGATTCGAGAGTGACTTAAATCGAGAATGGGGGGTTCCCCCATTCTCGATTTTAATTTTTCAAGATTTTCAATGGGCTGGTAAATCAATGCCAATGCTTGTTAAGGTTTGTAACATTGCACATATATATTTGAAGATTTATAAGAAAAAAAAAATAATTTACAAAAATTTTTTGTAATTGTTTTGTTGTTCTTTTTTTGTAATTAAAGAAAAGTCCTTATTTTTGATGGCGGGCATGATAACTCCTCACTGGAACATCGGAATCTGAAAATTTCAACGGTGTTAGAAAGAGTACATGTCTGGCTCTCGTATGAACTAGGATTATTGACTTCGCTCTAAAATTTACAAAATGGTGGACCTTTGAAAAAATATTTTTGGAAAATCGCCGATTTTTGACCAAAAACCAAGTAAAAAAGTAAGGAAGGTCTTCATACGATAGCTATACACTCACAGAGAAACGTGTACAAATTTGGAATCGATTGGGTTATTAGCTTTTGAGTTATCGTGCCCGTCATTCGTTTAGAGAAAAACGCGTTTAAAGTTTGAGAAGCCCTTCAGCCGTCACTTGATGCTGACACAATAAATCGGCTATATCTTCAAGAGTTCTTGAGATTTTCGCATGAAATTTTGTAGAGACATTTTTGAATTAGTGTAGATTCGAATTAAGTCAACAAAATTATTTACCCCGAGAAGGGGGGGGGGGGGGGGGGGTCCCTTAACCGTTGCCCATAAACTACTTCCAGCGGCTCTAATGTTGCAAAGCTTTTTTTGCTTTCCACTTTTTCCGCTAATCTCTTGACCTAAAAGGGTGAGTTATTTCCTCTTGGGTCTTCAGATGTTGTATGACGAAGCTCATCACATTCATTCGCATGTATCGTCGCCTTTTCGGGTATTCGTCTGCAGCATATGACTCGGAAATTTTTCTTAGACACTTAAGGGTATGAGGCATAGGTATAGTGCAGCTCTCTGAAGCGGCGATTGGTAAAATTTCTCTCAGCTTTACCATGGTTCAGGGAAGTTCGGCGTTCAGATGTAATGAAATCGGGTGATGTATTTACGGAAACGATGATGGGGAGGTGGTTTGAACCAAGAGAAACTACGGGTTGCCAGACTATATCATTTATCAGATCCGGACAATGGCAATCTCGTCTAATTATCGTAGGGGCATCCTCATTCACCGTGTGAAACATGGAACTGTCAATTTGCTCTGCCAGCGCTGGCCATTACCTGGGACGGAATAACAAAGATCATGATGGACATTGAAATCCCCTAGCAACCGACGCTTTTTACCCTCCAAAAGCCAATTTTCCTATTTTCGTGTAAATAAAGCTGGGTACATCTATTCATCGGCATGGTGTTAATTTTTCTTCCGATTTTGCCGACGTTTACTCCAGGTGCTAAGATCGTGCAATCGTTTGAGTTTGATGCCTCGATCATAACATTAAGAGATGTATATGTTGGATAGTGAGGACGATTATTAATTGAATCTTCGATTTTAGCACTCAGGATGTGATTGACATTTGCTGCTGGGCCAATATGCTTTAGCATGATCTTCGGGATACCAATGCCTTCCTCTTACAATTTTTTAACTCTCCGTGAGAATTGCTGTTTGTCCTTATTTTGCTGTGCAAGATGTACCTCTTGCCACGGCCGAATCTTCCCAAATTTTGTGTAAACCAGCTTCACAATTGTGCAGTACATCTTCAATGCCATTTTGCGATGCTGGTTTACAAAATCAGTTATCTCTTCCTTGTCTCGAATTTTCTCATTGACTTCGTCAATTTCATTGATAAAGCATCTGAACTATTTAACTTCCAGGAAAAATTTCTATTCTTGAAAACATGATTTGAACGACTTTAACGTATACTTCCTTAAATTTAATCAAAATTATGCATGTTTTTATTTTTTTTTAATTTAATTTTTATTTTGAATCCAATTTTAAACTTAAAAATAACGTATTTTTTAATTGTGGCCTTGGTGATTATTCATCATTCCAAAATGATTTCGGAAAGGGACTTTCGGTAGTTAATACATTGTGATGATCCCCTTTCGTTTTAGTCAAAACTCTTTGTCCATTCCACACCTCTCCAAACACTCCTCTTTCTTTGTTGGCCCCAACACGTGGATAATTAAAATGATAATTTAGTTTCTCCCATTGATTGGTGGTTGATACCAATAGACGTTCTACACGGCTGCTCGATGTTGCTAAATCATCTGAAGACTGATCTATAATTTCTTCATGATTTGATTCCGTCGTATTATTATTACTAGGTTTTATTGAATCAGTCCATTTTCCCATGGCATACGGCGAGTCACCATTTGTCTCCACAAAAAACATACCCTTGGTAGTCTTGGACATATTTTCGCCCACCTCCACCAGGTAATTTGTTCGAGGACATTCTCCCACAACATAGGCAAAATACGAACTGCATGGCCAACCCCAAAAACCCTTTTCGCTGCGTATAGATTCCAAATAATAATCCAAAGCACGATGATGGAAACATGGGAAGGGATCTGTATGAAAAAAAATGTTTAAAAATGTTTTTAAAAAAATATAGAAAAAACAGACTCCTGACATACTTATCGGATTATCCCGAAAACAATTCGGTTGAAATATGCCACCATTCATATAGAAATCAGCATGACCACATCTCTCAAATTTACCCTGAACCAAGGCATTTGTATGAATCACATCGACAAATGTGGCATCAGTTTTGTCTAATTTCTCTTCGTTTGGCGAGGTTACAAATAGCGGTAGGGCAGGGTCGAGACCTGTTGATATTTATATAATTATTGGAATTCTATAAAACAATTAAGGGAAAGATTCTACTTACCTGTTATCCTTGGCAGGGTAAAATTCTTTAGATTTTTCGCAATATAATTTGCAATATGAGCTCCCAAGGAGAATCCAATAACATGTATATCGGAACTTTGTAAATCCCGTATACGTTCCACCAACTGAGCCGCACATTGTCCAATATGTTGAATATTGTAGACAGCATTTACATAGCATGGACCCCGAGCCAAGGTACTCCACTCAATATAGAAGACATTATAATCGCCCTTGGCAAGATATTCTGGAATAGAAAATGAAAAAAACAGATCTTGATAGCATTAAGAGCACATACTATTTTTTGTAAGAAATTAAAATACCGCAAACGCGGTGGTAGCACTTCGTCTCCTTCCTAAATGGAGTCAATGGGAAGGAGCAACAATTTTCTCTAGAGAATGTATATGAAAGTCTACATCTGAAATGTTTCGCAGAACTACAAACAGGATTAAGTCTAAGATCAGGAAGCACTCTCCTATACTAGTCCGTAACGGTTCTGTCGATGATCTGCTTAGATCAGAAACCAGCAAAAACTCCGCTATGCTTGTCCGGTCGTTTTCAACGGATCTGTCGATGGCCTGTTTGGTGAATAAACCTCCATTAATTTAAATTGTATTCAGAACCCTATATGCGGCTTACCTCAGTTATATATATTGAAGGAGTAGCTACCATATTGAAGGTACATTACACCCGACACTTTCCCAAACAGTCCTGTCACTTAACTAGTAGAACTTTCGACCAGAATACCATTTATTAGAAAGGTGAGTGGACCTACGTTAATAAAAATTATACGCCTTCGGTAATTAAATGCCTATATCCATTAAAGGAGTAGTTACCATACTGAAGATTCCATCTCATACGCCAGCTGTTGTACTTCGATTTATTATTTATTGCAAAGGTATTTAGAATATGTCTCCTGATATGTTTTATCTGGTTTATCCTTAGCTACATTTCGAGTTGGTTGGATCACATCGAGTTTAGCCTGCTGATTTTTCAGTCTACGTCAACTCATTCGGATTAGATAGTGACACATGGATTTTCGTTATATACACAACATCGTCATGGTTGATTCCTATCTTAATATTAAATACCCGGATAAAAGTCTTCTATCTTAGAATGCAGCTTTTCCATGGCTCTGATAGTTTATATACCAGAAGACTTTTATAAACAGGTATTCTTCTATAAGACTCTAAAGTGGTCCTGAAGTCTTTTAAAGACAGTCGGCATTCATTTTATCTTCCATGGATCTTTTGTAAGATAACGTCTTTTCAGGAGTCTTCAACAGGCGGAACGAATTACCAAGGTTCTTTCCAAAGTCTTTTATAAACAGGTGCATTTCCATAGGCCTTTATGGGTGGAATTAGTCCGAAATAATCATTCTGTAACATGAAGTCTTTCCAGACGGAAAAACTTCCTGGGGTCATTAACATACAGTAGGGATTTATGAAATCGTCCACGGATTTTTTGGTATTATAAAGAGGTTCTTCCAAAGGTTTTTATAGAAGGCTTTTGCAAACAGAACGATGGGAACTAGTTACAGTTCTTTAGCCACTATAGTTCATTTTTCTGATCTCGTTCCTTTGTTTGATTTTATTACTTTTTGTGATCTAATTTTTTTCACTGATTTCATTTCATTATTCCTACATTCTTCATTCGTTCTCGTTCCTATTTCTGATGCTGCTAGAGCAGAAGAACTTTATGGAGCAAAGGAACGAGAAATTCATACTAAAAAAGGTATTTTTGGCAAGGATAATTTCTTCCAGAGGCCTTCATTGATGGTGGATCCGCAATAATCATTCTGTAACAAAAAGTTTTTCCAGACGGAAGATCTATAGAGTTGGGTAGTTGCGGAACGAACTAGTTCATTGGAACTATTCCGATAAAGGAATGATAGCAACTAATTTCTGTTCTTTAGTTTCTTTATTGGATTCATTCCTTTTTGTGATTTCGTTCCTTTCGCTGATCTCATTTCCGTTTTGCCATATCCTTCATTCGTTCTCCTTAGTTTTTTGATGCTGCTAAAGCAAAGGAACTATATGGAGCAAAGGAACTTTATTAAGGTACTAGTTCATTTTTATAAACGGAAACAGAATTATCGATTCACTTCATGAACTAGATTGCCCAACTCTAAAGAGCTTTCAGAAGTTTTTAACGTACAGAAGGCATTGTAGAGGTCTGTAGAAAAACACTAAAACAATTTACCGACAGAAAACATTCAGGAAATCTTGAATGGGTCGTAAAAATAATGCTTTTCAGGATTCTTTAATAGGCCGAAGGAATTCCCAGGCCTTCTACAACGGTAGACATAAACGAGGACTTTCATATGTGAAAACCCTTCCTAGATATTCTAAAGTTGATATATATTATAGAAGTTTCCTGCAAGAGGATAATGCCTCTGAGAGGCAAGAGTGAAGGCACTTTAGATAATAGAATACCATTTAAAGAACTCCAGAGGCATAGACAAAAGTTCTATTAAAGAATACCACTTCTTTAAAATAGAACCTTGTCTATAGACTTTTAAAGTATAATCAAAAAATACAATATCTTCTAATGGCGTTTCATGGACAAGAGGATTACATAGATTATGTTGAGGGTGATAAGACATTCTAGCCACATTGGAAGAACTTTTTTGTCGCTAACCTAACTGCGAACTAGTTCAAAGGAACTATTTTGCAAAAGGAACGATCGGAACATTCGCTCCTTTAGTTCCTTTCGTCCCAGTCGGTCCTAAATTTTTCTGATCCAATCGTTAATGTAAGTCATTCCGTTTATTGGCCGTATTAACTGGTGTGTACCAATGAGCAATTGAACTAAAATGAACGATAGAACGATATGGTTGAACGAACTGAAAACATCGAGACGCTTCAGGAACGAAATTTATATCTTCAAGAGGTATAAAATGTCACAAAAGTCTGAGTGGGTCCCTTAACAGTCCATTTTGCTCACATTATGAATAAAATCATTAACCTAAATTCGACGATTTCAACGATGCCAAAACTGTTAAAGGACTACTAGAAATAATATCAAAATTACGATCACTGATATTCGTTAATTTGAAATACTACTTATTTAAATTTTAACATACTACTTATTTAAATTTTAACATCTAGACAATACATTAATCCTAAATTGTGTTCTTATCCAATTCCATGTAAAAATCATCCTATATCTTCTATTTAATTTCCTCTGAAGATCTCCTTTGTTGAATTTCTGTTTTGTTTTGTCGGTCTTACCATTTTTCATTTTAGCCAGGGCATGTAAATTCATATTGGCATTATATCCATGGATAATAATTTTACTAGGATGTCTGGAATTATAGTGCGAATCCGATAGATTTGAATTCTCCAAATTATTATGAATAGAAATTATTTGAGATTCTTCGGGATTTTGTCGTGTATATAGATGAAATTCGACATCTTTGTCGGGACATGTTCGACCAATGGCCCAAATACATGAACCCAAAATGATATCTTTACTTGGTGTCGTCGGGGTTTCAGTCGTTACATCCGTTACAGCGATACCCTCTGTGGTGGTATTCAAAATTACCATGGCATGGACTTGGTTTTGGTGTGCTACGAAAATTGCTGTAAAAAAACGAAATAAATGAAAAAGAAGATTTAAAATTGAGTTAAATTGAAAATTAAAATAGAAGATAGATATAATTTTGACATAATAATAAGGACAGAAAGGCCAAGGTCATCACCATTCGAGAGCTGCTATACAAAATTTGGATGCACATTGGTAGAGAATCTCTATACCAAAAAATGCGAATATTGATTCAAGTTATTCGGGATTTTGGGAACGTTTTTCAATGGAAACTAGTTATTTTCTAGCAAAGGTATGAGAAAGATTGATTCGCTCTGATATTGATTTCCTTACTTTACTCCCATATACTTCGGACCTATCGAAAAATAAAATGAACTATATGTGATTGAATTGGTTTGAACTATATGTGATTCAGATACTTAACAAAGGAAACATATTAAGGAACTTATTCCTCTCTAGAAAGGTACGAGATCCGCTCCGTGGTTTGAACCGATGTGTGTGAGTGCTCGCATTAACATTGTGCTCAATAGATAGTTCATTGGAACTAATCCGAGAATTAAACGATAGGTATTAGGTCCATCTCTTTTTATTTCGATTCCGTAGCTTTATTCGGAGCTATCGGAACTATGTTAGCGAAACAATGGAAAGAACAGAGAAAAACGGGAGTGATTCAAATGAACTAACTAGTTGTCGGAACTATATAGAACGAAGGAACTAGTTATTTTCTAGAAAATGTACAAGAATGATTTACCCGCTCCGTAATTAGAGTCGATGTGTGAGAGCTCGCATTAACATGGTGCACACACAATAGAATATGGGTCGTTCCAGAACGAACTAATTCATTGTAACTAATCCAAGAATGAAACTTTCGGAACAAGTTCCAGCTATTTTTCCTATTTCGTTACTTAACACATAAATCTGGGAAGCGTTGCTTCTAGGCATCGATAGATGGCAGACCTAGGACCGACATAAAATCAATGAAATAATTAACGAAACTGACACAAGGACTAAACGAGAAAGATGGCGATACGTTGTGGAAATCTAGGCTCCCAAAAGTTTTAATAGAAGAAAACCAACTCAAAGAGGTTATGTTATTTAATGTAATTCAATACATGTTTCTAGACATCGATAGATGGCAGCCCTCATCGCCTATTACAGGCATAAAAACAATGAAATAATTAACGAAACTAACACAAGAACTAAACGAGAAGGATGGCGATATTTTGTGGAAACCTAGGCTCCCAACAAGGAAAACCAAATTAAAGAGGTTCTATTATTTAATGTTATTCAATACTTACTAACATCCCCTTGGGAAGAACCCCTTAAATCCATTGGTTATCCTATACTACTTATTTAAATTTTAACCCCTACCATTATAATAATAATCAAACTTGGCATCAACTTGTGAGGATAACACAAAATCGAAATGTCCGGAGATATCGCCACCTACAGGCAAAAGGGCAACACCAAGCAAGGACACCAAACACTGCAAAAATAATAAAGAAAGGATTTTTTCTAGGCATCGATAGATGAAAGCCCTCCCCATCGCCTAGGGCAGCCACCTGGAGGAAAATGAGAACACTAAACCAATCAAGAACCACAACCACTGCACAAATAATCTAGGAAATGTTGTTTCTAGGCATCGATAGATGGCACCCCTCATGGCCTAGGACAGGCATAAAACAATGAAATTATTAACGAAACTACCTCAAGGACTAAACGAGAAGGATGACGATGCTTTGTGGTAACCTAGACTCCCAAAAGAGAAAACCAACTCAAAGAGATTCTGTTATTTAATGTTAGTCAATAGGGGGATATCGCCACCTGCAGGGAAAGGCAACACTAAACTAAGCAAGAACACCAACCACTGCAAAAAATAATGAAGGAAGTGTTACTTCTAGGCATCGATAGATGACAACCCTCATCACCTAGGACAGGCATAAAAACAATTAACTAATTAAGGAAACGAGAAGGAAGGTTTTTGTATACCTAGGCTCCCAAAAGTAGTAATAGGAGAAAACAAATTCAAAGACGTTCTGTTATCTAATGTTATTCAATACTTACCCAAAATTGTTGTAAAAATCGTTGTAGATTTTCCGAAAGAAAACATTTTGTAATCCCGTATCAAATATTTGAATAATTTTTATGATTGTTTTCCAGAGGCATGAGGGTTTTGCTGAGCATACAAATCACATTATCGAGCTATTTTTATATAAAAATAAAATAAAAATATGTTAGGAACCCCATTTATTGAGATTTTTTAATTATCATATTTTTTATGAATCGGGGACATCATTAGAAATCATTAGTAAAAAATATACCAATATACCTCATAATATTATTACAATTACACATCTTTTGACACAGATTTTTTTTAATTTCAAATTTTCAACCGTTTCTATCTCTCTCTCTTTCTCTCTTCATAACATCAGTTTACAGTTTTTTTTTAATACAAACTTTAAAAACTAATTATAAACACATTTACAATTAAGTTCTTCCTCTTTTTTAATATTAAAGAATTACAACTTATAATCACTTGTCACCTAACTTTTGGTTACCTTCCTTCATGGGAGGTTGCTGTGTGTCAGTCAATACGCGCTCATCAACACCGGCTACGTGACAAGAATTGTCAAAAGTTTTCTGTTGTTGTCGTCGCTGTCGTTATGGTTTATTATTCTTTGCAATAAGTTTACAAAAACCGTTAATTGTTTTAGCGTGGTGTTACTGCAACAGCTGAAAACCGCAAATGACATTTTTATTGCAGAGAATTGATTTTATAAGAAACTGTGTACTAGGTGATTGTCAGAGGTGAGCTAACCTGAGGTACGCAAGTAAAATGGGGGGAAAAATAAAAAGTTTAACTTCTTTAAAGTGTAACTTCTTTATCAAAATGGCACAATTATAGATCTACGGATAGAATACGAGTTGTCATGGAATGGAAAGTGTTCCCGCGTCCAATATATATGGGTAATATATGAGAAGTTTTCTATAAACAAGTGTTTTTTCAGAAGCAAACGAAGTTTCCGAGATTTTCCATAGGCAGACAAATGTTCATAGATAGGTTATATATCAGACCTATCTATGAACATTTGTCTGCCTATGGAAAATCTCGGAAAATTCGTTTGCTTCTGAGAAGTTTTCTATAAACAAGTGTCTTTTCAGAAGCAAACCCATAGACAGACAAATGTTCATAGATAGGTTATATATCAGACCTATCTATGAACATTTGGATGGAAAATCTGGCTTAAAAGACACTTGTTTATACTTCTCATATATTACCCATATATATTGGACGCGGGAACAACTCGTATTCTATCCGTAGATCTATAATTGTGTCATTTTGATAAAGAAGTTACACTTTAAAGAAGTTAAACTTTTTATTTATGTCTTTTATGAACAGGGGATTTTCAAAGGTCTAGTATAGATGGAAGATCTTCTATAATCATTCTGTAACAAAGTATTTCCAGACGAAGGACCTTCGGGAGAACCTCTACAGACGAAACGTTTACTAAAGTTTTATAGACATAAGGCAATCGGGAAATTTTCAGAAGTCTTCAATATACGATAATAACGACGACGATAATAATGACGACGAGGAGGAGACGAAGACAATTGAACATCTCCTGTGTCGCTGCCCAGTTTTGGTCTACAGATGGCATGATTTAGTGGGTGTTCACTTTCCACCGTGTCGAAGGTTCTTTTCAACTATGGAATCTGGCTTAATACACAACATAATCAGAAACCTGAGGTGGTTTGGATAGTGCAATCTGAACACGTAATATGTTTTTGTCCAATTTTCTACAACCATCAACACTATTTACTACCTACTTCCATATTAGATTCTTGCCTTCTCTATCCCCTTTCTCCCCTACAGATCTCTCCATATCTCTTCTTGGATGATCACAAGGGACCGAACGGTCCCTTGTGATCATCAATCATTATGTTTCGGACACAATTATGCAGTGGTTGGTGTACTTGATTATTTAGTGTTGCAATTTTCCAATGGGAATTTTATTTCAACTCAGTAGATAGTCTGTCCTATTTGTATTCAGTGGTTGGGATCCTTTGATGTTTCCATTTTCCTCTAGGTGGCGTCATATCTATTTTGTGTTTCATTTCTATTTGTATGTATCCGTATATGTTGATGCCGATATTGGTTATTAGAATGTCAGGGGATGGAGCAGTTTGTAAACAAACAAAATTATCGTGTTTACTTGCCAAAGAGTTCAGCCGAAAATGTGCACCTTCAGTTGGCCACCAGAACTCAACGCCGGCCTTGGTGATGGCGTGGGCCGCCATAACAGCCGATGGTCGCTCTCCGCTCGTTCTAATCGACCGTGGCATCAGAATAAATGTTGAATATCATCGCGAAAATATTCTGGAGGGTGTATTAAAGCCTTGGGCACGCAAATATTTTGGCCGCAGACCTTGGACACTCCAACAGGACTCAACACCATCGCACTCAGCACGCCCCCAACTAAGAATGGTTACAAAATGAGGTTCCTTGCTTAATTTCCAGCACACAATGACCACAAAATTCTGCGGATACCAATCCTTTGGACTATTGTCTCTGGAGTATTTTGGAAAGCAATGTTGGCACTAAAAAAGTACCAAAGTGTCGATCACCTTAAGCATGCACTTCGCCGGGAATGGGCAACATTCGGGCAGCGTGTGACGGTTTCATTGACCGTTTGAAGGCCATAATTCGTGCCGAAGGTGACCAATTCGAAAAATTCTAAACTTATTCTAATATTTGATGATATTTTCGACATTTTTTGCTTTCATTCAATAAAATTAAAAAAAAAAAAATTGTAAAAATTATGGCGTTGGACTTTGTTGTAGTTTTTTTTATCTCACCCTGTACATATATCAAAATGTCGACATGATTTGTAGAACATCTCCCTTTAATTTGTTAAATTCAAGAATCGATAGGAACGAAATACGGATTTACTTGTTGATTTGTCTTTCGATTTTGAAACACACACCTCTTTGTTCACACACTACTTTCACATAATCGTCAAAGAGAATAACATTTTACGAACAACGAACTGCAAATATTGTGCACCCTTACCAGTCTTCTACAAATATATTACTACTAACAAATCCGAAAATGTTCTCTTGCCAAATGGCTATGCTGATGGTCAGTCAGTCGGTCAGGTAGGTAGGTAGTCAATGTTCGTTCACCTGCCAAAATATAACTTTTCTGTGTGTGGAGAAATAACCGGTCCGCAGTCCTTGCGTAACCACCATTCACACATTCGAAAATGACGACGAATGTAGACTTTTCGCTTAAGCTCAAGAATAATTGAATGCGATAAGCTTTTAAGCTTTCCAGCATATTGACAGCGAAACATTCACTATGACAGCACACTCAATATGTTCATATAGCACATTTCTGATACTCTGTTTGTTTGCTTTTTCTTCTGACAAACAGACAGATAGACTTCCTAGCTGTCTGAGTGACAGATGTGCGAACGAAACGACAAATTGGTATTAAATTTATTTAGGTTGGATTTGTTGCATTTTTCATGTCATGCAAATTTGCTTTATTTTTATTTAATTAAATTTAATATATATTTTTGGAGATAACACCACCTTGATAAAGGCTTTAGTATATATTGTTCCGTTTATCTGTCATACCAGCCATAAATATTTTGTATATCACATATTTCATACCATTTATCATTTATGCATTTTTAATGAATTTTATGAAGATTTACTTTTTCTGTCTCAACTGCGAACGGATTTTTTCTTTGTTATTTCCGTTTTATTACTGTTCCGTCATTTATTCATTCTCTTTTGATGGTTATCTAACTGACAATTGAAGTACATTTTTTAATTTCCTTTTGTGTTTTTTCTGCTACCTACGCTACTTCCTTGAAAAGAGGTATCCTTCGGAGAGAGAATGAATGAGAGAGACTATTTTTCGTTGCATTCTCTCTTTTCACTATTTTCTCTTAATTTAACTCTTTTGAGTAATGAAAATGTTGCGTTTTTAGCAGTTTGTAATTGAAAAAATATCGGGTTTCGCCTTTAAGTGGGCCTCTTTCGGGAACAGAGTAGTCAGTAAGTAGCAGTAATAGAAATATGAGAGCCCTTAATTCGCCAAATATTCGCTTTGTCTGAGCCAAACATTTTTACCTACATCATGAGATGAATATTACAATTATGGACTCTTATGTGGTGACTAGAGTTGTGTCTTTCCGGAACAGACTAGTTCAAAGGAATTAATCCGAAAAATAAAGTATCACTCATGTAGTTCATTTTGATCCAATCGTTTATTTAGATCGTTCCTTTCATTGACCGAATCAACTGACGTGTACCAACGAATAATTAAACTAAAGGAACAAATTTGTTAACAGTTCCTGTTCCAGAACGAATCGAAAAATATCAAACCGTATCAGGAACGTGATTGTCTGACTCTAGTGGCGACAGTGACAAAACATACTTACTTAGCTGGCTTGTGACAGAACATTTGTTCCATAAAAAAGATTTCCTGGCACATCGGTCTTGTGCGCAGCTCTTCCAATTCGAAGGACCATTTTCCGAAATGGTGTCTTCCACTCGATATTTCCATCGAATTCGTGGCATTCCCCTTCTGCGTAAACTATCAGTTGGCTTGCTTTTGTATAGGCACCCTCAACCATTCTCACAACATGACCTAGCTAGCTGCAGCTCGATGCGTCTGTCGATGTCGAGATCAGATAGAATTTTTCTCTCAAACACTCCAAGAGCAGCCTCATCTGCGTTCGTAAGTACCATACAACAGCACGGGTAATATCAGCGTCTTACAGAGTGTGAGTTTGGTTTGGCGAGAGGTGGCCTTGCTTTTGAGTTGCTTTCTCAGACTATAGTAGCATCTGCTGGCCAACACTATTCTCCTCCGGATTTAAAAGCTGGTGTTATTAATTTTATTTATGGCGGTACCGATGTATATAAAATCGTTCACTACCTCGAAGCTGTAGTTTACAATTTCCGCAGTTGGTCCGAGTCTACTGGACGTCTTGCGCGTTGATACCATCAGCTTGGTCTTTTCGCCATTTACTGCCAGTCACACTTTGGCAGAGTCCTTCTCAATTCGTTCAAAGGTGGCTGTTACCGCTCGCGATGTTCGACCCATTATGTCGATGTCATCGGCGTAGGCGAGTAACATATGCTGTTTGGTGTACAGAGTGTTATTTCTGTTCACATTTGCATCTCGTATGACCTTTTCCAGCCGGATGTTAAAAAGGTCACACGACAAACTGTCACCTTGTCTGAATCCTCGATCGGTATTGAAGGGCTCCGAGAGGTGTTTTCCTACTTTAACTGCTGACATTGTACCAGTTGGAGACTTATTCCTCATGTCGTCTTGTCTTCTATTTTGTGCACGGAGCACAATATGCAGAGGGTCCAATCATTGGGCATGCTTTCCTCTAGCCAAATTGTACTAATCAGCTGGTGCATGCTCCTTACCAGCATCTGATCACCAGTCTTGAATTGTTCGGCTTGTAAACTGTTGTTTTATTATGCTGTTTTATTATTCTTCAGCCGATTGATTGCTATCCTCATCATGGCTATGTGGTAAACACTCTATACCGCCATCTCTTATTGGTTCTGGGGTATCATCTTCACCACCACTACGCTATCTGTATCTGTCACCAGGTTTCCATCTTCATCTCAACAGGAGGAGGATGTGCCTGCACCAAAGCCTTCGGTTTGGTGTTTTACTCGGTGGTGAAATTTTCTGACTTCATTCTGACTCCTCTACATATTGATTTGCTCACGCTCACGTTTTTCTTGTTCTTTCTTCGTTTTTCTGAAAAGGAGAGAGGAGAAACGTATACCTCTCTCCTTTTCACCCGATAATTCTCCATCGCATTACGTGTTGTTACTGTCTGCAGTGTTGCCCTATACGTTGCGTTTTTCGCCTCAGTAGCATTACGACACTCCTGATCGTACCATGGATTTCTTGATGGTGGTTTTTGGTACCCAGCTTTAGCTTTTGCTACAGTTTGTAGGGAGTGGGCAATTATTTGCCATTGTGCTTCTGCATTATTATCGGGACAAGGTGTGCTTTCGTCAATCAAGTGCGTAAGTGGGGCTGAGTATGATTGCACCTTTGTTGCTACATTAAGACGGGTGCGATCCTTGGCTGCCACAAGGTAATGGTCCGGATCGATATTCGCTCCTCGTATCGAACGAACGTCTAAAACACTGCCTTCCGTCTAATACACACTGCCTTCCGTCTACCACATTTCATACAGACTTGTAAATTTAATATGTAATAGAGTATCCGATATGATCCCTTGAGTAGCCATCGATACATTTTTACCAAAACCAACATATTAGGTCGTCTGTCCAATGCGATGGTGCTGCCATCTATTGTTGTCTAGAAACAACAACTCCTTAAATTTTATGCAGTTGTTGCGGTTCTTGCTTATTTAGTGTTGCCATTTTCCTCCAGGTGGTGCTATACCATGGTGCTACTCCTCTTGGGAGCATTTGGCTTCCACAATGCACCGCTTATGTTAGTTTCGTTAATAATTCCATTGTTTTTATTTCTGCGAAGAAGATGTTAGATCTTCTGAGATGGCGCTGCCATCTATCGTTCCTTAGAAAAAACGCCTTCTTAAATATTATGCAGTGGTTGAGTATTGCCCTTTTTCTCTGAGTGGTGATATCTCCTGTCATTACTATCTTGTGTTCTCCTCATGATGTAGATGTCAATGTTGGTTATTTAAATGTAATGTTAAATGTCTACCTTTATCGCTCTGATTTGATTTTCCCATGTTACACATTTTGGTAGCTTATGACTTTCAGGTTTCGATTAGTCTTTATGATATTTCCATTAATCATTTCATTTTTTAATTTCCACTAAAGTAGATGTAAAGTCTGTTGTCCAAGGTGATTGGACTGCCATCTATCGTCACCTAGAAACAACGCCTCCTAAAATTTTATCCAGGGTGGGGGTACTTGCTAATTTAGTGGTGCCATGTTACTCTGGATGGCGCTATCTCTTGCCATTTCTATCTTGTGTTTTTCTCACATAGGATCATAACTTTTTCCATACAAAGACATACAAAACATTCGATAACTACTTTTATTAATTAGGAAGACCCTTAAAGTCCTCAAGATGGGATAAATGTTTATATTTCATAACACATAATTTAATACATTTTTCAATTAAAATTTTAACACATAAGTAATGATCTAATTTTCAAATGATGACATTTATCGTTTGCCGTCATTCCCCTTTCCTTTACTTTGGATTCAACGACCTATTGGCAAAATGACATTCAGAATTTCTCGAAATCTCTCCGCAACATGACCAATGACGACGTCCGGGATGCCCAGTATGGCCGTGGCCACAACCATTATATCCCGGCATACTGCCCTGGCACGAACATGTTGCAAATTTATTGCCTTTACTCGAACAAAATGTACAGCAATGATAGATGCCGGTATGCGGCCTAACCGGGCGAGCCAAGAAACTGAAGGGGCTACCCTGAAAAGTTATCTAAATCAGAATATAAAAAATTTCAATTGAAATAATACGTTTTTACCCTACCTTAATATGCTTTTCATTTATGGTAATCATGAGGATGATCGTGCCTTCCGCATCTGGGGTAAAGGCAATACCATAGGTGCCATCACAATTATCAGTGACCTAAGAGGAGCATACAACAATTTTATATAGATTTCAGAAAACATGCAGGACTTACCTCCATTCTCAGACACTTGGAATTAAGATCCTTGTATTTAACATGAGTTTGAATCTTAAGTCCGCCATGGCTCATTGGCTGACCCTCCGCATCGCGAGATATTAATGTTAATTCCACTTTTTTATTAATACGCAATTGAGAAAATCCTAAAAGAATTGCATAAAATCTAAAGCCATTTTTTTCAATTCATTCATATTTACCATCCCATTGTAGGGTACATGATGAAGGTTCCACGGTTTGCATAGATAAAACTCCAAACACAGGTATATCATTGGTATCTTTGACAATTGGTGCTTGTATTTTTGGCATAAAATTTGGTATGTTGATTATCTAAAACAGGTTTAGAGGTTACATTTAGTAGTTAATATGTGGAATGGACTTACTTTTGGATCAATTGATGCCTTAAATTGTTGACAATATTCAAAACGTTTTAATAGGATTTTTATAAAAGATAAAATTTCAACATCAGTTGCAACTTCTGCCAATTCTTGACTAAACCCAACGGCCATTTGACCCTCTTGGGTACGTTTTTCTGAAAAAGAGAACAAATTGGTCAACATTAAGTAATATTTTCACAGAATCGATAATTTTTTAAAGAATTTTTTTTTCAAAGGACTATTGGAGTTTGGATTTTTTTAAAGAATATTTTTAGGCGTGGACTATTAAAAGAATATTTTAGGCGTGGGTTATTTAATGAATATTTCTAGGCGTGGATTATTAAAAGAATATTTTTGAACGAAGTCTTTAAATGAATTATTTTGAAGCATACTTTTAGAAGTGAAATTTTTAAATGAATTATTTTAAAGCCTACTTTTAGGCGTGCATTTTTTTTTTAATTCACGATTTTGAACCATAAATTTGGGCGCTGGATTTTAGAATGATTTTTAATGATACTTATAGGCGTTGAGTTTTTAAATAAATGATTATGAAGCATACTTTTAGGAGTAGAGTTTTGGATGGATGATTTTAATGTATACTTTTAGGCATGTATTTTAAATGAAAGATGATGAAGCTTACTTTTAGGCGTAGAGTTTTCTTAATAAGTATTAGTTTAAGGCGTAGAAGTTATTAAATTCATTATTTTAAATTTAAATAATTTTGTAGCATACTTTCAGAGAAGTTTTGGGAGAATATTTTAGGAAATTAAAAAAAAAACATTTTGAAATAATTTTTAAAGGCTGCATTTCAATGGCAACGGTTTTAAGTGCATATTTGAAGGGATCTGAGGATTTTTACAGAATAGATTTGCCTGTGACTTAGGCATGCATTTCTAAAAGAATTCTAAAAGGTATATTTCAAATACTATCTGAGCCAAAGGCGTAGATTGTAGAGTGATCTGAGACCAAGACGAAAAGTTTTTGATTTCTGTACGGATTTTCTGAGTCGAAGGCGTGAACATATTTTTCAAGAACTCACTGATCCGTACTTGTTTTTAAATAGTGTTTTTGAGGATTTATTTTTTTAATTTATAAGGGTATATTTCTGGGACTTTTGAAAGTATTTCCTCTTGTTTTAAATTATTGAAATGTGTGGATTTAGCTACAGTTCCCAATTCTCGGCGTTCCTTATGACTACTTATATATAAGTTGTTGAAACTAATACGTTGGGCGCCAGTACACGCCCAATCTATGACATCAATGACGTTATGCTCTTGTTGACATTTTTAATGTTCATTTTGTTGGGTATTTATGACGTCATTTTAATTACCATCAACCCTACTTCGCCACCAAAGAACAACATTGCATCAACCACCATAAATCGGCAGTTTGTTAAACATATCGCCCCATGCAAAAGGCAAATAATTATGTGACATATTCAATCTGGAGTGGGGCAGAAAAAAACCTACCACCAAATAATGTTCAAAGTTTCTGGAAATTTTATAGAAACCCTTGAAAAATATTGAAAATTTCAGTAGGAGAATTCAACAGACTTTTCAAGTGATAGAAGAGGGATAGTCCTGAGGGTCTTCTATGGATAGAAGGACTTCTGAGGTTCTGCCTTATTTCCTAGTCGAAATTATGAATCAATCGATAGAAGATCTCCATTGAATAGTCCACAGATAGTCCACAGATTGAACAAAAAATATATTTTCGTGTAATCCTTACCTAATTCCATTTGTTGTTCTCCAATCAATCCGAGCTTCGTTTCCCTCGTCGTACGAATTTGTTGGATTAAATTGCTGCGATGCACTTCAACGGCTTCCTGATAGCGACGCATAAAATCTTCAATTTCCGCCTGCAATTCATCACATTTCCGATTAATGCTTAGCATTGAAGCATTCAATTTCTCCAAAGAATGTTCCGAACTTTTACATATCAATCGTATCTGTTCAGCAGAGTCACGTAAAATACTGGAATAAAATTTTGCCGCTTTTTCAATACCATCGATACGATGACCTTTATGTTGTAGAACTAAACAATCGCTGCATGCCAACTGTAGACAATTATGACAAAATGATTTTAATTCGAACCCCGGATGAAGCGTACAATTTTGTGATAATCGATTAAATCGTGGATTATCCTTTGGGGAGATGGTAGAGGATTTCGTGTCAATCGTAATTGTTCGAAGGCTGTGGTTGGCGGTAGTCTTTTGTCGCTCATGCGACTCCTTACAGAGGAGGCATAAATTCAAATTACACAATTCACAAAAATGATTGGCCTGAAAGAGAGGGGAGAAGATCGTACTAGAAGTTAGTATTTTAATAAAAAATGGAGACCGGACTTCAATGGATTCTTGAGAAGCTTTGAATTTTCCGCCGATTTAAGATAACCAATAAGCGTGGATACATTTGTTGCCGAACTTCAATAAATCGAATCATCATTATTCCGAAAAAAACTTCGAATTCGGGATATTAATTAATAACAGTTTGCCTTCTTAGTCCTACTGTCTCTACATTGGCTCCGACTTAGATAAAATTCGACATTATATTTCATACTTACCCTCGTCTCCTCATAGCACAGACTACATAACGCATAATTTTCACTGGCAATTTTATTTCGATGATCTTCAATTTTACGCACCACCAGCAGATTACGCGGCAATTGACGTAAACCGCCCACGGGAATTTCGGTTACAAATCCACATAGCTTACATTTGATTCGTGAACATTTTATATTTCCAAGTGATTGAAATTGATTTACCACCATTGCCGTCAAATCTGGAGATATACGATTGCTGTCGACTTTGATCTGGAAAATAATAATTACAATTTGAGGTTATGTTTTAAAAATATATATTATTTTGTTCTTACCCTTGCTGGTGATTGTTCAGAAGATCTACGTAGTTTGAAACTAAATGATGCCCGCTTTTGTAGAGATATTGTTGAGGATCCCGATATTTCTGAATATTGATTTTCCGCTTTCATTTCGGCTGAGGAGGACATTGAATACTTTCGTAATAATGAGGGGGAATTGGTGCCTGAAAAAGGAATTAAAAAGGACATTTTTGTAGAATAAATTTCAAAGGCCGTTTAAGTAGATTAAAAAAAATATTTTTTCGAAGATTTTAAGAATAATTGTTAAGGATTGAAAGAAGCTGAATTTTTCAAAAAATAATTTTTAAGGACCAACAGAGCATCACTGACTTAAAAAAATTAAAATGTTAATAATTAACAGATGAATTTTCCGACTATAGAAGCATGTATTTATTAAATTTTTTTTCCAAGGATTAAAGAAGCTGTATTTTTTTTTTAAGAATAATTTTTCTTAAGACTATCAGACCTTGGAGTTGTTAAGAATATTTTTCCAAGGACCTTTAGAGCGTAAATTTTTAAAGAATTTATTTCCAATAAATTCTAAGCTCGCATTTAACATAAATAAATAAAAAAAATAGCTATCAATTTATTTAAATTTCAGGACGTGTTCATTTTTACTGAATATTTTTTTGTATTTTTTTTAACGAAGGGCTATAAAATGTGGATTTTTTTAAAGAATATTTTTTTCTAAGATTATAGAGGAGTGAGATTTTTAAAAAATATTTTTCCAGGGACTATCAGAGCTTGGCGTTGTTATGAATATTTTCTTTAATGACCTTCAGAGCATGCATATTTTGAAGAATATTTTTCCAATAAATATTATATGTCGTATTTGCAAAAAAATTATGAACTATCAAAGGAAATATATTTTAAATTATTTATTCTTCCGTTACTCCTATTGCATAGTTATCCTTCTCGATCACAAGGACTAGAAGTCCCATGTGATGGTGCAGTCATCTATCGGTGCCTAGAAACAACACCTTTCAGAATTTCAGTGTCGTGGTTGAGATCCTTGCTTATTTAGTGTTGCCATTTTCCCCTAAGTGGTGCTATTTACAAATTTTTTATTGAGCATATTTCATGGATTTTTTAAATATAAGTTTTTATTTTTTTTATTTTTTTTTTTGTAAAAGCATAGATTTTGAATTTAGTTGAAATATTTGTCGAATGTCCATTTATTCTTCTGTTACCAATTTTACATAGCTATCATACTCGATCACACGGATTACTTGATTATTGGCCTCCCAGGTGATGGAGCTGCCATCTATCGGCGCCAATAAACAACGCCTTCTGAATTTTTGTTCCGTGATTGCTTATTTAGTGTTGCGATTTTCCTCCGAGTGGTGATAACTACTGATTTTTTTAAATAGTTTTGGATTTTTTTTAATGTAAGTTTTTGTAATTTTTGTAGAGATGCTTAGATTTTCTTGAATTTTTGTCGAAGACTCTATTTATTCTTCTGTTACTCCTTTTGCATAGCTATCTAACCCGATCACAAGGATTAGTAAATTATTGGCTTGTTCAAGGTTATGGGGCTGTCATCTATCGTTGCCTAGAAACAACGCCTCCATTAATGTTTGTGCAATGGTTGAGGTCCTCGCTTATTTGGCGTTGTCATTTTCCTCTGATTGGTGCTCTTTTTCCTCTGAGTTGTGCAATCTCCTGCCATTTCTATATTGTGTCTTTTCTTCCGGTACCTCCCACAGAAAGGTTCACATGTTTCTAAGCTTCCAAATCTCATATGAAACGAATACAGTATCTGATTTGATCCATTTTTTGTATATCGAAAGACATTAAATCCGAAGGTGCGATCTATAGGCCAACTTCTGGAATGTTACAAATTTAATAAAAAAAAAATTTCAAGGCTTAGGCAACAAATATCTTCAAACTACAGAAATCGGGAAACTATCTTCCGGTTATAAAGGACCAGAAAAGGCGTTTCAAATATATTTAGCTATATAAAATATATATCTTCTAGCTATGGAAACCCCAAAAAAATATTTAGTTTAGAGAGCTTCAAACCTTCTTCAAACTTTGGAAGATATTGGAGAGTAATATTCAAATTTTTAGAAGAACTTTTTAATTTTTCCAGTACAGTAAATTTTAAAGAAGTACCACAATGAGGTGGATTTTTAAAGAACTATCAGAACATTTGTGTACTAGGTCATTTATAAAATCGATATATTTTCAAGATGTTTATAGCTACAGCTTTTCATTTGCAAATCAAGAATTTCATTTGTAATGCGAAAACTCAATTTACAATTCATAACATGTCATTTGTAATTCGAGAATGTAATTGGTAATTTAAAACATGTCATTTGTAATTTTAAACTTTTCATATGAAATTCAAAAAATCCATTTGAAATTTAAAGAATTCAATTTGAAATTCATAACATTTCATTTGTAATTCGTAATATTTCAATTGTAATTCGTAACAATTCATTTCAAACACATGCAAATTCTTTGTATGTTACCAATTAATATTTTTGAATTTAAAATTAAATGTTATGTATTTCAAATGAAGTGTTCTGAAATTTCAAATGAAATGTTATTAATTTCTAATGGAATTCTTTAAATTTCAAATGAAATTTTATGAATTCCATATGCAATTCTTTGAATTTCAAACGGACGTTTATGAATTTCAAATGCAATCCTTTGAATTTCAAATGCAATCCTTTGAATTTCAAATATAAGTATATGAATTTCAAATGGAATTCTATAAATTTCGAAATGCATTCTATTAATTACAATTGAATTTCTCGAATTACAACTGATATGTTATGAAATGCAAATAGAATTCTCGAATTGCAAATTATATGTTGTGAATTACAAATGGAATTCACGAATTACATTTGATATGTTTTGAATAACATATGAAGAAGGTGTAGTTGGGAGACCCCGTTAAGGCCTTGATGCTTCCGAATTGTCTAATTTTTTGATTACTTTTAAATAAGTACTATGAAGCGATGTTAGGACTTTTTAAAATTAAAAAAAGGATTATGAAATATTTTCCGAGAACTTTCAAAGCGTTTCTAAAGAAGGAATATAAATGGATATTTAAGAATTTGTTGACATGGAATATCATCAAAATATGAATTATTTGAAGAAAAACTGAGGATGGACCTTTTTGTATTCTCAGAGAGGTTTAGACGTTTTTTCCTAGGATTTTGACGTTATCTTATTATAAGACCTCTATGAACACAGGAGAACACCTTTTACAGGTTCTAAATAACAGGGTTATACTTTCCAAACTACAATAAATCGATGATATTTGAAAGCTTTTATAATAGCTAGAATATCCTTGTATGCCTTAGAAAATACAGAGGCAGTTTCACAGACCTGAAAATTTAAAGAGCTATCCTATAGACGCTCGAAAAATATTTTTGTAGGTCGTCTTTAGTTCGAAGACCCTGCTGAATTCTTGAATTTTCCAAAATTTCTACTTTTCCTAAAATATAAAATTCCCTACCCTACCTAAATAAATTTCCTGCAGGATACCCAAAGAGTTCAAGCTTTCTCTTTAAAAGGACAAAAGAGAAAAAAGGAAAACTCGAAAATGTTTGACATGCGCCCACGAACTTAGACAGCTGTGTTGTGCCTAGCACACATTTCTATGGTCTGGAAATTTATGCAATTTTATTTACATGGCAGAGGAGAGGGGAGGAGAGAAACAGGGAGGGACAAACAGCAGGTCTAAAGGCAGAAAATAGCTTTACAAGGAAATGTCGAAAACGGAAAATAACAGTACATATCAAAACAGAAGACAGTGAACACATGGTCTAAAGGACAACGCATTCAGCACCACACACGCACACACAGATTCTTGCAAAAGTTTTGAAATACGCACACACATACATACTCGCACTGGCCTACCTAACGACGAGGATACAAGAAGGATACATACCTATACATAAAAAGTTTTTCCATTTTTTGTGAATGAATGAAAGAAAAACGAAGAAGAAAAAAATGTAATTGAAGGGTGGATGTGAAAAAAGAATGGAAAATGATGAAAATCATTTGAAGCTGCTGCAGTAAAAAAGAAAAGTCCTTTAGTTTGTGAAGTGAATCGAAGGATTTTTAAAATTAAAAATAATACCGAAAAAATCAATCTAGAAAAATATATATTACAAATTTAAGAGAAAAAAGTGCCTAAAAATATATAATTTATAGAAAATTTGTGGAATCTGTGAAAATCAAAAGAAAAAAAGAAAATCATCATCCTTCTCAGCCAAAAGCAAAGAGTGAAAAAAACGGAGCAAAAAGAAAAATCTCTACAAGTATGTTGTGAATTTAGAAAAAAAGACTACTTTCTTGCTTACAATTTTATTTCTTTGGTACAACTAATACACAAGCAACACACAGATACATACCAAACTACAAACAAATCTGTCAACATGATTTTTACAAAATATTGTAAAAATCCCCGAAAATTCCGCATAATTTTATTGTTAATGATTGTCACGTTAATTGTCATAACATTGCTGATACTCAACAATGGCCTACAGCAGCAGCACCAGCATTCCATCAGTGCGGAAAAAATAATCGATGAACATTTCGTGGCCCAGGCCTATGCGGACGAAGCCACACAGCAGTTGCTGCGCCAACAACAAAAAGAGGCAGCATCCGTATTCCGCAAGAAAAGTGATGCTGATGATGGGGGAAATGTTGTCGTTCTCAAATCGCCACGCCAAAATGGCATTATACAGCCCGAGAAATATGATGAACATAAATTGAAATCCCGTCTGATACAAGAGAAAATTGATAATTTAAAACAGCAGCAAAAACAAAATAATCTCGATCCCGAGGAAGAGCACACGATTGCGGAGAGTGTTAGCAATGCCATACACATTTTTTACTCCGCCCCCGTGCCATGGTATAAAACACGTAAA